CAACTTGTCTGTTCCCCCTCCTCTGATTCCTCAGCGCTATTCCCCTCCCCCAATTTCCCAATAAAATCTTAAAAAAAAAAAGAATACATTAGCTGAAATCAACAGATTACTTGTATCAGATGATCAAATCAGTTATTTGGGAGATAAGGTAATGAAAAACACCCAATCGGAACACAACATGATAGTTTAAGGAATCTTTGCAACAACATCAAGCATAACAACATTCAAATCATAGGGGTACAAGAAGAAGAGAGAGAAGAAGGGATTGAAAATCTATTTGAAGAAATAATAACAGAAAACTTCCCTAACCTGGTGAAGAAAATAGACATACAAGTCCAGGAAGTGCAGACAGTCCCAAACAAGATGAACCCAAAGAGGCCGACACCAAGACACATCATAATTAAAATGCTAAAGGTTAAAGATGAAGAAAGAATCTTAACAGCAACAAGAGAAAAGCAGTCCTTTACCTACAAGGGAGCTCCCATAAGACTGTCAGCTGATTTCTCAACAGAAACTTTGCAGGCCAGAGGGGGGACTGGCACTCAATTTTCAATGTGCAAAAGACAAGGACCTACAACCAAGATTACTCTACCCAATGAGGCTGTCATTTAGAATCTAAGGAGTAAAGTGCTTCCCAGACAAGAAAAAGCTGAAGGAATTCATCACCACCAAACCAATATTACAAGAAATGTTAAAGGGATAGCTTTAAAAAGAACAAAAATGAACGAATGAATAAATAAATAAATAAATAAATAAATAAATAACATGAATAAGGAATTATCACAAGAAAAATAATTCTCACATAATAAAAGCAGTGGATCAACCAACAGTAAAGCTGATACAAAGGCTTAAAGGCAAAACTTGGAAGATCATGTGTAATTGCAACAGTAAATTAAGTGATACACACAAATGCACACACACAAAAGAAGTAAAATAATAAGAAAAATATAAACGTGGAAGAATGAGTAAAAATGGTAGTGATTTTAGAATGAGATTGAACTTAAAGTGATCATGGTAACCACAAATCAAAAATCTACAAGAGATATACAAGAAATAAAGAAAAAGCAATCCAAACACAATACTACAGAAAATAATCAACATACAAAAGAACAGAGCAAGAGAATAAGAAAGGAACAGAGAACAACTACAAAACCAATCAGAAATCAATTAATAAAATAGCAATTACTACATACCTATTGATAATTACTTTATATGTAAATGGATTCAATGCTCCAATCAAAAGACAAATGGATAAAGAAGAGATGGTACATATATATGATAGACTATTACTCGGCCATAAAAAAGAATGAAATCTTACCATTTGCGACAACATGGATAGACACAATGGGTATTATGCTAAGTGAAATAAGTCAGATAGAGAAATACAAATACCATATGCTTTCACTTCTATGTAAAATCTGAAAAACAAAATAAATGAACAAACAAAACAGAAAAAAACTCACAGATTCAGAGAACAAAATGATAGTTGCAAGACAGGTGGGGATGGAGAAGCTGGGGAAAAGTTGAAGGGATTAGGAGGTACAAATTGGCCGTTACAAAACAGTCATGGAGACGTGAAGTACAGCCTAGGGAATATGGTCAGTAATATTGTAATAACTATATATGGTGTCAGGTACATGCAAATTCTGTTGGGGGAATAACTTTGTAGGTTATATAAATGTCTAACCATTATGCTGTACACCTGGGACTAATATAATATTGAATGCCAAAAATAAGTGACTACCTGATTTTAGCCAGCTTCCAGGAGTTTTGTATTTCTTTTGCCTTTTTTTCTACTCTTCCCCTAATTATCCCTCCCATTACTCCCATAAGTGGTTCATGCCCTTGGGCCTTAACAGACCAAAAAAAAAAAAAGGGTTTTCCTGGGACCTTCCAAATAAATACTGATTGAAAATTAGTCAAAAATTTTAGTCAAATCAATCAATATTAACTCTCTTAAATGTTTCCGAGTTAATAAATGATCAACTCTCAAACAAATTCTGTCTTGGAGCATCATGAATGTGTAAAATAAACATTTTATGTATCATTCAAGTGGATAAGTCTGCTTATTTGCATAAGCTCCAGTTTTTGGGTATCTATTGCATTTTCAACAAAGAAATAACACTTCCATAACTGTAAATTGGCAAACAACTCATATCCATATTCCCATTTATGGAATAAAAATTATTGCCTGAGTTTGTGTAAAATCCATTAATAGTAATTTTGGAATCACTTTTTTCCTTCAAATTCATAATTTGCTGTTTGTCTGAACTTTCAGCCCCTTTAAAATCACCATTTCTTGACTGCTCAACCATGCCATACATAGACAGAAGCTATATTAATAACCTCTCAAAGGTGCAGTGCACTGATACTGCTATTTATGCTGCTGTCTGGGAAAAAAAGCATATTTTTTCTGTTCAAGCACCCATGAGACATGAAAACTATTCTTTGTTCAGACTCACAGTAGATAGTCATTTCAAAACTTCAATTACTATTTCAGCATGTTCCCTCCATCACCGTTTCCAGACCCACAGCCAGTGATTTCTAATAGCAAAATGTACTTTATAAACCATGCACACATGTGCTTTGCATAAAATGAGCAAATAAAGCTATGTATAAATGATTAAAATCTGCAGAAAAATGTAGAATTTAGATGAAATAATATCAATATGTGTATTGTGAACATGTAAATTTTATACCTCCCAGCTAATGACAAAAGACTATTGAATGAATAAAAAAATGTATATACATTTCACCTACCTTGAAATCAAAGAAAAATAATCATACATTAATATTCAACAAATATTCCTTCAGATTTAAGTTAGTATAGAGTGTTCTTTGTGGTATCGGATTTATGAAAAATAAAATCATGTCACCTTATTTCTGCCTTTGAACAATTTACAACATAATAAATATGATGTATTCTTTTTTATTGAAATGAGAGTCTTGAATAAAAAAATATTGTTTATAGTCTCATTCTTACTTTATGCAGACCTTAAATTCCATGATCTGGCTATAATTTCTCTTCTTGTGTGAAATTTTGTTTCCGCAGTAACATTAATCTCTTTTCCTTAAATCTATCCTCTATTTTCCCATTCTTTTTTTTGCCACTGAAAAATGCACACCTCTAATGTATGTAAAACTGAAGCAGGATACTTGAATCACACCATTCTGAAGACATGATTTTCATTATATTGTTCCTTATAAACTGTAATTTGCTTTGAGTGGAAGACATCATAAAAAATCAACCTTATACAACTTACTGTTCTATTCAATGTTAGGATATTAATAAAAGTAACTCTTACAATGCTTATAATCCACTTTATAAAGAACAATGCAAAATATTTCCGATCTCAAAGCCCGGAGAAAAGTCTGTTTTTGTTGTGCATTGTTATACTTGTATTTTGTATACAGTGGTTTCCATGTACACTGATCAGGTTTTCCTATTTGTTTGGCAGCTGTCATAGTTACGTCTAATGCATGCACCATTCTTAAAAGTTGTTTACCAACTTGTACTTAAGCTTTTAGGATCATGTAACTATTTTACCCACTTTTCTCATTATCCCCACTTCACTATTTATTTATTTTTAATGCTCTTGCATTATACCTCATTTTGTAAGCTTTTGAAAATGAGAAGGGTAATGGATAAGCATCTATGTGTGACAGGAATGTTTTACTTGAACCTGAGAAAAATCTAGATTCTTTCTTCTTCTTACTCTGGGTTGCTATTGCCAAATGAGTGGAGTATACCTGCTGCTTCCATTTCATCATTTTCTGCTCCCTCCTTAATGCTCTGAGATCCACCTTCTCTCCATTCTATGGATAATCTTATTAAGGACTTTGTCATTTTCCAGGTATTTTAGCTTCGGAAAGTGACTGGATTTCTCGAAGCCTTATATTCCTCATTTCTAAAATGGAGATTAAAATGGCTCCTCCGGTTTGTTTGGAGGATTAAATGACACAGAGAATATGAAGTGGCTAACACAATGCCAGGCACATAGTAAGTGCCTAGAAAATGGCACCAATGATGACAGTGTTGTAGTAACGGCAAGTAATCTCCCAAGCAACTCTATTTTTCAGTTTCTTCTAACCACATGAGATTTTTCTGGTCTCACAGACTTGAACATTCATCTTTGACCCTATCTTGTCACTGTTTCCTTCCATATCCAGCCAGTTGTCAAATATTATGTCTTTTTCCCTTTACAGTAGCTCTCACATCTGTCCCTTCCCGGTTCTTCTGATATCACCCTCATTCTGTCTGAGAGTAAACCACAGGGTATGGTGAATCAGTGAAACTGTTCTCTGAGAGAGAAGGAGACTAGCAGAATTTTGAGGACTAAGGCACTGAAATACGCAGAGAGGCCTTTATAACAAATAACAGCAATAAACAAGTAGTCAAGAATGCCAGTGGGCTAGGCTGAGGTGCTCACATTGAAACACAGCTTAATATAGTTTAGAGAAAAAGAGGCCTCATTTAATTAAGACAGAAATATTTAATTCATGCAAAGGTGGTGGGAGTAAATCTTATCTGCAGTTACTGGTAATAAGAAAGCCAGAGCACCCACTGATTTGTCTTAGTTTAATACCTACTGCCACCAACATCACTACCATTGGACACATAAGCAATTAAAATGGTAAATCTTACAAGTGAAGGTAGAATTATGGTGAAACAAAAATGCCTACCATCCACATCAATGCTTACACAGGGTAATTTGTGATTTTAAAAAAAGACCAACTAAGTTACCAGTGCCTTGTATTATATATTTTATGATCCAATCTGTTGCTATGTGATTATTAGATTGGGAACTCCTTGGGAACCTAACATAGTAGTTCGCACAGTACAGATTTTCAATAACTGTTGTTAAATACAGGAGCTCAATATTTCCTTAAAGACTGCATTACACCTCACAGATTTAATTAAATTTTGTATTCAATAGAACATTTTTCAAACTATTAAAATGTGCTAAGAGAGTAATATTGTTTCAAAGCCGTTTCCTTACCTTTACAGACAGGCCTGTGATCACTCCAAGCAGCAAAGACTTCCGCGATCCGCTGACAAGTGATGCTCTTAGCGCCCTGTAGGACGTAATCTTCATCACAAGAAAACTGCACAGTCGATCCAAGGCTAAAATTGAACAAAGGGTTAAGAGACAGGATTAGAAGCATTGAGAATACTGATCAGGCTCCTCTTCTACTGGCAATATCTAACAGGTCAAAAATATTCCATCGTGACAAAAAGTAATTTTTCTACTGGGAAAGCAAAATATGAAAAAAAAATAATGACTTGTATGAATGTGTACTAAAAGTTATAAACGGATGAATCTGCTGTAAATGAATAACATGCAGATATTGGTACTAAGTTGTCATCAAGTTTAATTATCTTGTTATTAGTTGTAGAAGTCAAGGTTAAATAATTGACTAAGTGTCCCATTCTAAGAAGATGGTAAATAGGAAGGAAAAAGTGGACTTCTGGACTTGAACCCTCATGCTTGTGTTCACACCACATTACAGTCCTTCTCTAGCAGGTATTTATATGTGTGTTTATTTGGACATGTATTTACACATCCATGTCTACTTATGTATCTATGTATACACACATACACATGCACACACACATACATACCACACACGCACATGTATATATGTATGTATATAGGTTGCAAAATTGTGCTGATTGTTTTTCATATAAAATTCACCCACCCTTTACTATTTAACCTATTGCAATTTGGATTTTGTTTTCCCTTTCCACTGAAAGTGAAGTTACGAAAATGATAATCCTTTAAAACCTTATTGCTAAGGGTAGCATTTTTTTTTCTCTGAAATAAAAAACTGACTTTGTATTTTCTTACTGAAAAATCCTTCAACAACAACTCACTAGCAAAAAACATAAAGTGCCATTTCCTTCATGAGGCATAAAAAATCCTCCCAGCAGTATGTCCCGGCCAACTTCCTCATCTCGTCTCTAACATAGTATCACACGCGACGGGCACTTTCAGCAGCGGAGGGTTTCTGCACACACCATGGCATTTTCTGTCTGCACTGCTCTCCCTGGTCCTTCCTCCCTAGAGGGCCTTACCTGCACCCTCGCACCCAGCCTGCGCCTGTACAGCTCCTGTGCAGTTCCCTGAGCTTGGCGTGCAGGGCATGACATGATCACATTTTTGTTGTACAAAAATATCTCTGGAACAATGTAGAGGTGAATTTGAAAGGAAAACTAATAGAGAAAAGGCCAATAAGAAAATAACTCAAATAATTTAGGCCAAGGGTCGGCAAACTCTGTCACACAGGCCAAATCTGGCCCACTGCTTGTTTTCGCAGAGCCCAGGAATTAAAAATGGTCTCTATACATTTAAACATTTGAAAAAAAATCACCAAAAAGATAATATTTTATGAAATGTAAAAATTATATGAAATTCTGATGTCAATGTCCATAAATACAATGTTATTGGAACATAGCCAAAGTCTTTCATTTATGTACTATGTATGTCTGTTTTCATGCTACAGTGTCAGAATTGAATAACTGCAATAGAGAGTCTTTGGTCTACAAAGTGTAAGATATTTACTATCTAACCGTTTAAAGAAAAAGCTGATCAATCTGTGGTCTAAATATGACAAAAGACCTAAAGCAAGGGATGGCATGGCAAAGAACAGAAAAATATAGTATAGGGATAAACCTAGGCATTAGAATCTATTCTTCCCTAGAGTTGTTTTTTTCTTTTTTCTCCCACTGTTTCTTTTGAAAGAGTGGTTTTATTTTAACTATGAAATAACTGCAGAAAAGTTTACAAAACAAAATGTATAGTTTATTGCATTATCATGAATGAAACACTCATATAACAAGAAATAGATGATCTCAAGGGCATTCTTGGACTTCTTAATGACTCCAGGTTTATTTAGACTACCCTGTAGTCTGAGCAGCCTTATGGATTTATAATGATGAATTCTCTACCATTTCTTACTTCTCCATCTCAGTAAATGGAAATTCCATCCTTCTAGTTGAAGGCCAAACACCATGGAGTCATTCTTGACTCATCTTTCCTCCTGTTAGCAACACTTTCAAAACCAAGAAACTAACATTTCTCATCCCCTACAGTGTCACCACCCTGCCTGGAGCCACCATTTCTTATCGACCTGCTGCCTATAGCTCTTTTCGCTATGTGTTGGTTTCCTATTTCTGTTCTCGACTCCTTGCAATCTATCCTCAAATAGAACCCATGGCAATCTTTTTAAGGAGACAGCTCAAATTATGCCTTTCCTCTGTGTCCAAACTTTTAACGCTTCCCCATTTTACTCAGAGTAAAGGCAGTGCCCTTAAAATGGAGTCTGTGAACTGCCCATTATGATTTTCAGAACTCATTCCCTACCACTTTCTCCTTCAATTTGTTTTTTAGCCACATCAATATCCTTGCTCTGGCTTAAAAATATTAAGGATGCACTTGCCTCAGGCTCCTTACAATTGCTCTTAGTCTGGAAAATGCTTCTCAAGAAGCCTATTATCTGTCACAACTTCATTTCTGATTTTTCTTCGCATGTCACCTTATTCATAAGGCTCTCTTGAATGTTCTCTATCAAATGGCTATCCCATAATCTTCTTCCATGTTATTTCCTATATGCTATCTCAGATTGCGCATTTATTAGTCTACCTATTGTGTCTCTCATCCTACTAAAGGAACTCCAGGCACTTATCTCTTTTGTTTTCCAACCTGTCAAGCATATCCTAGTATATATTAAGTTATTAAATACATCTGTGTGTGTGTATTTTTTCTTTTGATAATGAATAAGTTCTTTTTATAATATATAAAGATAAATATGTATCCTTAATAATGCAAGTTATTGTCTAAAATGGCCTAAGCCAGTGATACCATATCCCTATAATTAGACAAAATGATACTTGGGTAAAATGCATTCTCAAGGCTATTTAAATGGCTTGTAATTCACATGCACTCACCTCCCACCACGTGACACATTTGCTGTGTTTCACAAACAACAAAGAAAGCAATGTGATTATTAGAGCACAGGAAATGAAGAAGATAGAAGTAGGAAATTAAGTTAAGGGAGCAATTAGAGACGCGGAACAGATCATTTATGAATTTGTAGGCCATGGTAAGGATTATAACCTTTACTCTGGGGAAACTGGGCAGTTATAGTGGGGCTGGGAGCTAAGGAATGTCATGTTACTTGACGTTTTAAAGTGATAATACTGGCTGCTGGGTGAGGAATAAACTTTAAGGGGGCAAAGGCAGAATCGGGGAATTTGGTTAACAATCTATTGCAGTAATCCTAGCTCTCATGTAGATGACAGGATAGTGACTTTTACTAGGAAAGTAGTGTTTAGAAACTAATGATGGTAAAACGTATTTATTTATTTATTTATTTATTTATTTATTTATTTATTTATTTTTATTTATTTATAGAAAGCCTCAGTACAGAGCCTGATCCACAGAAGTACTTTTAATTACTATATTCTCACTAACTTAATGGATTAATGATTCAGTCAGGGTCATTCTATTTGTCACAGATGATTATAATATCCTTGTTTAATCAAGCTCTTCTTTCTAAAAGTAATAAATTGCTTCTTGTTTAAGTAATAAGTGTTTGAGCTTCTTTCTTTGGATTACAGTAAACTAATTCACTTAACTTGAAGACAGACAATTGGTAATAATAAACACTTAAGGGCATTGCTACCATACTAAGCCTGCCAGTGATGATCTTTGCATCAAATACCATCACTCCCATCCCCAAATTAACAATATCAACAATGTTTTCTCCATTTAGACCTCTGGGGGAAGTAGCTCTAAGCTGCAGTTAACAGTTTAAGCTGCAGAGTCAAAGATCTTTCAAACCTTAACTCTTCTTTTTCTCAGCTGTATGGCTTTGAGACAATAAAAATCTCTCCAAACCCCACCTTCCTCATCTGTTGTGATCACATAATGAGATATAATTTATAAAGTATACAGTGCCTAACACATACTGGACACAAAACTATTTCCCTCAAACATGGAAATAATTGTGAAAATCATTAATTTTTTTCCACTATTGAAAGAAAGAATCTTTACACTTTTAACAAATTCTAGACCACAAATATAAAGGTGCAAAACAACACAGAGAGGGCAGAAATAAATGAAATGATCAGTATTTTCAGTAGAATCCAGGCTCAATAATACCCAGGAGATGGGTATCTTGAAATTATGCATTGTGTTTTATTTTTATAACAGGTTTAATACTTCAGAGAAACTTAAAGAAAACTTACAACTAGGTTTTGTTAAAAATATGTATTTCTAGGAAAGTATTTGGTTATACTGTAGCGACAATAAGGAAGACAATCTGCACCCAGAGTAATTTCTCTGTAACCACTGAGGAGACATCTGTCCTGCCCAGATAAATAAAACCTTCCAGTTTACTAGGTTATTCAGTCTGATAGACCATTCCAAAATAAATGACTGAATGATCTTTTAATTTGAAAGTATCAAATCATCAAACACATAACATACAATGATATAGTTTGGAAAACAAGTGTTGATCTTCACCATGATTATGCTAACCTATGTTTAAGTGTTATCATCTTTTTAAAAATTATTATAACCTCAGAGGTTTCAGTGAAAGAAGACATAATTTTTTTCAAAATACATAAAATGTTTTCCTATTTTATCAAAAGACAGCTAACATAATTTTACTGATATAAATAAAATATGAATATAGATACAAGAAGAACAAATGATTGTGGTTGGGTCAGCAAAAAGGATTTAAGAAATAAACGACAAGAGAGATTTTGGGTCAAGATGGTAGAGTAGGTAAAGGATATGCTCACCTCCTCTCAGTACCACATCAATTTCAACTAAACTATGGAACAATCATCATTGTGAATCACCTGAAGTCTAGCTGAACTAAAGCCCTGCAAATAAGGACATACAGAAAAAGCCAACTCTAGACTGGTAGAAGGGGCAGAAAGATGCGAATGGGCTGGTCCCACACCTGCTGTGACCATTAAAAATTGGAAGAGATATCCCATCTGCAGAGGACTCTACCTGAGGAGTGGGGGAATCCCAGCCCATTCCCAGCCCAGGGTTCCAGTGTCAGGGAGAGAAGTCCCCATAACTCCTGGTTGTGAAAATCAGCAGGAATTGTGGCTGAGTGAGACGGAGAGCACTAAAGTCCCAAGAACTTCT